TCCAGGGCAGGGTTCTTGGGCTGGGGTAACAGCAAGAACCAAGTGGTGATTTGGGCTGGTTCGAGTCCCACACCCCCCTTTCCAAAGGGGGCTTCGTTTCCATGCTAAGTAACTTGGGCTTTTCTGACTCGCTCTGCCTGTGGGTAAGAAGAGTTTGTTTTTCTCTCCAACAGGATGTAGCCATTTCTCCAAAGCAGAGGGATGAGGTCATCCAGTGGCTGGCCAAGCTCAAATACCAGTTCCACCTTTATCCAGAAACGCTCGCCCTGGCCATCAGCCTTTTGGACAGGTTTTTAGCTGCAGTAAAGGTAAATATTTGCCAATACATAAACTGAACTAGGTTTATTCCACCTACTCGGCTATTCCTGTGTACAGTCCCAGTGGTGGGGCTGTATGGAAACGCTCACTTCCCCCCTCCGCTCTCACACAGGTATAGGATGGTACCTGCGCTGCTCCGGGAGCTTCAAGTCAGGTTGTGGAACTGGCACCTTTTGGGGGGCAGATTCTTCCTGCAGTCATTTTTCACCTGGTGAAAGCAGCCGTCGCTTTAACAAGAACACGCAGTTCTCAGGGAACTGACCCGGTGCTTGTACCCACCGAGAGTATTTTCCCCTCTTTCCCCTGTTCTGCCCGTTTCCTCAGCTCATGAGTTGAAATGTTTGTTAACCCGAGAGAAAAGCAGCACCCTTCCTCTCCAGCTACAGGGTCGTGCTCAGCCTGGTTTGAATGGTGTATTTGCCTCAGTACAGTACCTGTTCCTTTAAGCAATCACATAAAGAGGCTGCATAGAGGTTAGAATTTAGGTAAAAAGAGAACAGTCTCTACCTTAACCCAGGCAGACTCATAAAGCTAAAGGAAACGCCTGCTCACCCACAGTTACAAACCCAGGGCCAGTGCCCTCTGACAGACAAGTCAGGGAAAGTCCCTGCTCACCTCTTAATTTCTCTGGTGTTCTAGCTGCATTCCATCTCATTTGTACCACCTAGAACTGCTGGGAGCACCTGCTAGCAGTGAGCTAGCTGGAGGAAACAAATAAATGGTTGAGGACAAGTCTGGGCCTGGCAAGTGCGCTAGTGCAGGGAAATGGGGAAAACAAAACAAAACAAACCCAAAAATAAACGAAGGGAAGAAGATACAGCCAGAGGTGATGGCTTTTCGGGGAAGTAGTTCACTACTAACCTGCTCCGCGGCCAGTCTGACAGACTCAGGAGCTTAAGACCGCCATCAGGTCAGACAGACGCGAGGGAGAGGGGCAAGCCAGCATGGATGCAGGCCCTCCAAGGGACAGGCTGTCCCGCTCCGGCTGTGCCGGACGGAACGGAGCATACGTACGCCCATGTGGTTTTAAGGCCGTTATGCCATAGAAACTGTTTAAAGAAAAAAAGACAAGTTAAAAATCAGCACTTGGGCTGCCTGCAACCGGGCTCTGCTGCTCTCCCGTCCCCGCACGCCCGCCGCAGAAGCAAGTAAGGCTGTGCCTGGGCCGTGTCCTGCACCCGCACAAGTGACTGAACACACCCTGGGTCAACCCAAAATCCCTGGCTTTGAGCTGTGAAGTCAGCGGCAGAATCATCTTTCGTCTTCGTCTCAGTCGGATTTTTTTTTTTTTTTTTTTTTTTTAATCTCTTATCTGCCCAGTTACATCCTGTGCTCAGCAAATCTGCTGTCTCATCTGCATCTGATCTCATCACCCGCGCTGTTGGGTAAGCAATAGATCAGGAGATGTAAGCAGAAGAATGTATTCTCAAGCCTGCGCCCTTGCATTTCCACGTGACTTAGTTTGGTAGAATGCAAGTGACATCATCCATTAACCTACCCTTTAAATATTAATAAATATTGACAATGTTTTAATTACAAGCCATGGAAGTTTTTACTTTGAAGGCGCTCTCAAAGTAGCCCATTTACTGAAATACTGAGATGGGAAATAGATGTAAAGCCCACAACAGCCAATGCCCACAAGTACAGTTTTTCCATCAGTAATTTGCAGCAGCCAAGGAGTCTGCAAGGAAAGTATGAGAATGTGAGGAAGGAGTCCGCTGCGCGCCGCAGGCGGCGGCCAGGAATGTGGAAAGGTGTTTTGTCTGGGTGCGCACTGTTCAAACAGCTCAGGGCTTTGTGCTCCCTCCCCCAGTTTCCCTCCGATGCAGCTTAACTCCTGGGTTTTTTTACCAGGTGCTAGTGGGGGGGGGATTTTATTATTGAGACGATGAGTCCCTTGCCTTCACCGTGAACATGCTTTGAAATGGCTCGACCGGCCACCCCAAAGGTGGGTGCCCAGCCAGCAGCGCTTGGCGTAACCCACGGCCCAGCGCTCGTTAACCTCAATGGAGCGGCACTTACAGCCCCTCCGGGCCGCACTTGCCTGTGGGCGAGGAGCCGGCCAGGCAGGTAGAAGCTCCTGGAGGAGAGCAGGGTGGGCGACTGGTTTTTAACACGCCCTTGGTGAAAACCTTCACCGAAAGGGCTGTCAGGCTCTGGAAGGGGCTGCCCAGGGAGGTGGTCGAGTCCCCATCCCTGGAGGTATTTAAAAGAAGGATAGATGAGGTGCTTAGGGACAGGGTTCAGTGGTGGGATGGCAGGGGTATGTTAAAGGTTGAACTTGATGACCTCAAGGGTCTTTTCCAACCAAAGTGATTCTGTGAAAGACAAGAGCTGTTCCTCCCAGGTCAGGCTCTATCGGGGATGCACTCGGGAAAAAGACCACATCACTGTTAAAAGTAACGGGGAAAATACAGGGGAGAGTCAGCTTCCCTGGCAGTAGGAACCTGCTCCAGCCACCGGCTTTTCCCTGAATACGACGCAGGTGGTGTCCTTCGCTGTACGTTATTTTGGGCTAAGCCGACAGTTCTCTTTGAACCTGCCTGCACCGTCAAGTTCCAGTCTTGCCCTAAGGGAACGCACAGAGGTGTGCACGCACACCCCCGCCCCCAAGTGTGGGTTCTCTGCACCTATTTAAGTTGACATTTGAGTGGCACCAGAACACCAAAGCTCTAGCGTAGCGTGGTCCTTTGTAAGGAACTGAGGCTGAATGTGGGTAAAGCTCTTCCCTTTGGACAGTGTTCCTCTCCTGTAGCTTTCTGGAAACAATGTTCTGCATTTCTTGACAGCTCATTACATGAACGTAACGTGCAGCATCTCACCCTTTGACCACCCCATAGCTCTGCTGCATCCGCTAAAATTTACCCAGCGAGAAGACACGACAGCAACAGTTCAGGTTGTAAGGAGCCTTACACATTTTCAGTGCAGGATTTTCACTTACCTTTGCTTTCAGCATCTCCCACGCAGCTGCGACCAGGTTTAGAAACGGTGCCTCGGCAGTTCCTAGCCCCCAGCCACCAAGGAGAAGGTGGCCGTGTCCTGTGGTTTTCACACTGATGCTCAAGCCAAGCCCTTTGTCAGATGGTCAAAGTGACAAAGGTGGCTGCTAAGCACAAAATCCAGCGGATGCGCCATGTTCCAAGCGTGCGCATGGTCTGGGGCCACCACAGGGACCATCTGAATGCTTCCAGCCCGGGCAGCCTGCTTCCCCCCTCGCCCCCCACCGAGGCCCATAAGAGAGATTTTGATGCATTGGGGGAGGGGGAGGAAAAATCACCTTTTCCCCTCCTAATTTCACTTACCTTGCCTAAAACAACTCAGTGCAGAAGGGACCAGCTCTCCCTGGATAATCCCTGAGCCACAGTTTTGAGAACTGCAGTGTGAAATGACACGAGTGGTGATTTTTACGGGTGTTTTACACTTCCCGAGGCAAGGACAGCGCTTTTTAATTCTCTTCTTTTCCTTCCTGTTCCGTGTCTGACCCCCAGCAGCGCTAACGGCAGAGCTCTGCTGAAGCAGGGGGAATGGCAGCATTTTTTTGCCAGGTGACAATCCCTCCCTTCCGATTTTCTCCTTCCTATTTCTACTGCGCTGCCTAAAAACGAGCTCTTTTCTCTCCAGCGCTGCGCATCAGCGGGTGCCAGTTACGATCGTGGGGCTGGCAGGTCGCTGTTCTGCCCGACGTCACGGGGCATGGATTTTTGCTCGGCCCAGCTTGCCACCGCCGGGCGTAGTTGGAGGTCAGCCTGCTGATCCAGAATGCATTGCATGGGCAGCTGAGACCCTGGGGCTCAGGCTGTCCAACCAGAAAGGATTATGCATAATTTTGGCATCACATTGACACAGAGACTTCTCTGCTCTTCTGTACCCAGGCCCGTCCAAAGTACTTGAACTGTATTGCAATCAGCTGCTTCTTCCTTGCTGCAAAGACCATTGAGGAAGACGAGGTAATTTTTTTTTCTTCTTGCTGCCTTAGCATTGCCTTAGCATAAAACTCTCCCCGTCCTGCCTTTGCTTGCACGCGGTGGCTGACGCTTGCCAGGACAGGCGCGAAGCGTTGGTGGGATTTCTATAATGATCGGTTCTCTTGTTTCTTTTGTGCGTTGGCTTTTGTAGAGGATTCCAGTACTGAAGGTGTTGGCTCGGGATAGCTTTTGTGGTTGTTCTCCAGCTGAAATTCGCAGAATGGAGAAGATTATCCTGGATAAACTGAACTGGGATCTTCACATGGCAACGCCACTGGATTTCCTTCATATTGTAAGTAAGGGGCTATTTACATTCTTTCTGGTGTCTGTTGGTGTAGAGAAGGTACAGAGACAAAAACTCCACCTGTAGGGGAGCGAAGACCTCGGGATGTATTTGTAATTCCTCCGTACAAGTAGTTCCTAAAAGAAAAAGCCTTGCCAGAGAGTTTGAGAAGACTTGTGACTTCAGGTGCCATTTCCCAACTGTGGGCCTGCCATCTGACCTGTTTTGAGGCACGTTAAACCACACACCAAGACTCCCAGCTCCTGAAAACCTTGCCCCTAAGCCTTAATTGCTAGTGGTCTGGCTCAAAGCTGAACGCCAAGCAGCCAGCGGAGCCATGGAGGCAAAGCACTGATGCTGGGCAATGGCTGCGCTCCGGGCCTGCTACAGAAAGGCACAGCCAGAGAACCGGATTCATGGATAAGACAAAGGAAAGGAAAGCATCCTGAGGTTCTCTGTTAAATTTCACCCTCTCTGCTTGCTCCAGAAGGAGTTTTTGTCTAGGAAACCTGAACTGCCAAACCTGTGTTGTTGAGAGAGAAGGGTGGAAGGGGATAGCTTTTCACAGAGCCCCGAGAAGCCTCGTCCCCAGGCAGGTGATGCGTACGATGGCAGGTCCGGCCAGAAAGGCTGCACCAAGCCCTTGGCAGGTTCAACGCACTGGGTGGGGTTTTTTTGCCCCATGGTGCGGAAATTGCCTTGAAGGTTAAGCTGGAGGATCCCGGTGCGTTAAAGACGTGTCGCATGCTGTTCTTGAGGTCTGTCCTGGCTTTGCTTATGGGGTTGCCCGTCGGTGACAGCGGCCGCCTCATGTGCTTGTTTCCCCCCCCAGTTCCACGCAGTTGCGGTGTCCAACAGGCCTCAGCTACTGACCATCCTGCCCAAGCTGAGTCCCTCTCAGCACGTGGCGGCGCTCACCAAGCAGCTGCTGCACTGCATGGCCTGTTACCAGCTGCTGCAGTTCAAGGGCTCCATGCTGGCGCTGGCCATCGTCAGCCTGGAGCTGGAGAAGCTGCTCCCCGACTGGCTGGCTCTCATCATCGAGCTGCTCCAGAAGGCACAGGTGAGGGGGTGCCGGCACCGCACACCGCAGCAGGGAGGGGCCGGGGGCCGCAGGAGGCTGCGTCTTGCTCAGCACGCCAGCAATCCAAGCCAGCCGGGGCTTTCAGATCCCTAGCTGCTGATCTCCGCCTGCAGTTAACGCTTTTGCGAGGATGGGTGTGCTTCAGCCTGAAGGGACAGTCCCTTGGGACAGTTCTGCCAAGTCTTGGTCTTGACTTCATCCAGGAGGTGACGCAGGGAGGACCTGTGCGCCCTGACATACACGGGCGTCCTCTGTACCAGGGAAAAAAATAGCAGACTGGGGAGAAAATCCTAGTTAGCTGCTCAGCCATTCCTTCTAAGCGTATGGGGTGGTCTGACAAGGGTGGGAAAGCTGCGAGAAATACACAGTGAAATACCCAGTGTGCTCAGAGCCCCGGCCCTGCCCTGGCTGGCAGCCTCCCCTCTCCGTGGCAGCGATCCCGCAACGCCCGTGTCTTTGCTTGTCTTCCCACTCCAGATGGATAGCTCGCAGCTGATCCACTGCCGGGAGCTTGTGGCACATCTCCTTTCCACCCTGCAGTCTTCTCTGCTGCCCAATTCTGTATATGTCTACAGTCCCCTCCAGCATACCCTGGTGACCTGTAACAGAGGAGCGTTCAAATGCCAGCCCTCCTCTGTCCCAGGGCCGGGTTTCTCCAAGGACAACGGCAGGCCAGAAGTGCCAGTCACAGGTACAGCCGCGCTCTACCAGCGTCTGCCAGCTCCCAGCGGTTGCAAGCAAGCCTCTGCCAAGCGTAAAGTGGAAGAGATGGAAGTGGACGACTTCTACGACGGCATCAAGCGTCTCTACAACGAAGACGTTGCTCCAGAGGTAGTGGCCCTCGACAACATGGGCTCTGTTTGTGGCGCTGACGTCTCCAGGCAGGAGGGCAACGTTTCCCCTTGCCCACCGTTGCAGCCAGTGTCTGTTATGTAGCTGTGAGTGCCCACCACCTGCTCTACCGCAGCTCCTCTAGAAACCGTGCACAACCTGGCATCCTGTGTTCTCAGTGGGGGAAGAAGGGGCCATACCTTGTCAGGCTGAACTGAAGGGAGCCAAAAAAAAAAAAAACAGAAAAAAAAAATCCCAACCCTTTTTTCAATTTTTTTTCTTGTGCGGCTAATTATAGTTCCACTATTTAAGCACTTAAAAACACAAAAAAGTATAAAAATCTAAAAAAAGACCCAAAAACCAAACAAAAAAAGTAGCAAAAAATTGTTTCTTTCTAGTGTTGTCAGTTCCACTGTTTTTCTGCTCCTGTGTATTGTAACCCATTCTCATGTCCGAGAGCTCGCGTCAGTCCTGCAGAGTTGTTCCAGGTTTCCCAGCCAACCTAACACCTCTCTGAGCTGATTTCCATCCGCTCCTTGCTCTTCTTCTGCTTCCTCCTCTTTTGATTCTCAGCAAGTCTCGTGCATGATGTTCCGTACTACCTGACCCTCACGCCAGCTTTCTTTTTCCTTTCTAAAGAAAAAGACCTTTTTTGTTTTGTTAGCTCTTTGGTGTTTCAATGTGGTAATATTTAAAAACTGGATTTAAATACAAGGTTAGTCAGGAAAAAAACCAAACCCAACCCTTGCGAGCTGCTCCACACTTAAGTAATAACCACAGGAGCGCGAAGCCCGCTCCGAACGAACGCTGGGGCAGCCGGCCCCGGGCGCTGTACCTTACACAGCGGCTTCTCCACGTTGGTGTTTTCAAACACAGAAAGCAGTTAATGGATTTTGTATGACCTGAACAAAAACTGTGTTTTTTCCCTTGTTTGTACCAAGGAGTGTTGCATTCAGTGTGGATTTTCACCACTGCTTGACTCTCGACATCAAGCGTACACCTTACATTCTGCAGAGTCTGGTTTTTCCCCCTATGTTTACAGGCTCAGCAGGTGACCAGCACCACAGTGCTGGGGCAGCTACGTACGCCTGAGGTTTGAAAGGTGTGTAATTACCAGCCACAAAACCAAACCAAAAGACCCCAACCCTCAAGTTTTGTGTTCATGTAACTTCTAACTAAGAGTAAAACCTTTAAAAACTCGTCTCTTAAATGTTACACCTCTGTTTCTCAGAATGACCTGTCCCAATTGTAAGCTCTCTCCACAGCCCTGAGGAAGGTATCGTATTTGGAGCCATTGTACTGATGAAAGCCTTCTGGTAGCAATAAAGAAAGTTGTCCTGGAATCCGAGTCTCGTTCTGTGATTTTTCACCCGAGTCCAGGATCAGTTTTACCCAGAGGCTGCAAGGGAGCTGCCCCGTCCCCGACCTCTGAGGAAGTGGCTTTAGGGGTCCTGGGAGAGTTGCACAAAATAAACTCACGGCCTCTGCAGCGGTTGCAGCTTTAGCCCCAGCTCTGGCGCTCCAGGCTGGTCCCCTTCCAGGCAGAGTACGGGCCACTGGGTGCGCGCCTGGGACGCTGCTTCATCTCCCCCGTCCTGTAACCGTCTCCTTTTGGATGTTCTGAACACCCCCTCCAAGGGTCACGTTCGCCTGCTTGCCTGACAGCCCGTCCACTGACCACCACATCTGATAATGAGAGCTCAGGACAGACTTCGTTTCTGCTCTTTTCTGTAAGCTCACAGGTTACAGAATGGATTCTGTTCTGTAACCTCGCCTTCTTCACGATAATTTTCACCTCGTGCACACTTCGGGAGGCGTCGGCCCCTCCTGCCTCACGTCCTCTGAGGTGCACCCTCTCTGTTGTGCACAGCCCACGGTCACAAACTTCGCTTGGGTTTCAGCTCTCTTCCTGCCCGCCTCCTGGAAACCACCTCCGGAGGCCGCGTTCCTCCGAGGGGTGCGCGCCCGCCTTCCCTTCCAGCCCCTCCTGCCATCCTTGTGGCATAGCCAGTCCTCTTCCCTCTTCCCGACGCTTAAGTTTTCTCCAGCCTGGCTGCTGGGCAGTCTCGGGGCTTCCCCAGCGAAATACCCCATCGCCGCAGGATTTCCACGATCCCTGCTTCAAGGCGCCCGTTATCTTTTTCAGTTGAATTACACAGCATAACAGCTCGAAATAAAAATAACTGTCCCAATTCCCAACGCCAGATACAGCGCCGTTAGCACAGGGAAGATGAGAGCCAGGTAATTTTCACACCCCTTGACAGCCAAGCCAGGCGCCCGTGGTTTCTGCACAGAAGGGAGCCTGTGCCCGCGCCCGCTGCTCGGAGCGGCGGCTGCGTACGCAGTCAGAGAGAGGTGAGCCAGGGCCCTCCTAACTCTTGTGACCATATTGGCCTGCACGGTACAGAACTGGAGAGGGTTTTGTGGGACTACAGCTTATTTGAGTTGGCTTCCAACGCTATGAGACACGTGGTGGGGGGAGAAGAGAGGATGGGGACCAGACCGCCTGCGCAGTCACCCCACGGCGATAAATCTCAGCCTCCCCTTCCACTGGCTGCTCCCCCTCCGCGCGCTCTTCCCTCCCCATTTAAAGGACGCGTTCCCCCGTACCCCGTTTGGCAGCACCGGCACACGGGCGCTCGTGAGGGTTGCGGCCCAAGCCCGTTTCCAGACGCGCGCAAGGAGAGGAGTTGGCAGAGGGCTGGGAAAAGGAAGGCGTTGGCTTGTGCCAGCTGGCAGGGGCCCGGCTGGAACAGAAGGGAGGGAAGCGGGGCGTGAGGAGAGATTTAGGTGCTGCCGGAGCAGTTCTCCAGCAGATGTGCTGCAGCCACGGCTGCGAGCCGCTGTGCGAGAAGGCAAGAGCTTTCCTTCTCACCGTTTTCTCCTCCCCAAAAGCGACAGGACAAGAGCAGGTCCCACGCTGCCCCCCTCCCCGGCACGTCCCCAGCTCGTGCCAGCCCCGCTAGGAGAGCTCTGCGGTGACGGAGCTGGCAGCTTGCCTCGGCCCCAGGCGCGCCGGAGGAGAGGAACCTCTTTTTTTGTTGTTGCTTTGGGGAAAAGCAACAGCTTTGTTCCTCGCAGCAAAGGGGGTAGGTAGGGGGGCGAGAAGCAGCTTGTGAGAGTCACACAGTTAATTTTACAGCATCATCAACCGCCTTCAGGGCTGTGCTCAGTGAAGGCCGCATTACTTCTGGCTCTGCCTGGACTAAGTGCGATGCCGGGAAGGGTCACTGCCCAGAAACCTTCCCAGCCAGCCAGTGCTGCACAAAGCCAGCCAAACCACAGCCCCGACTCAGCACGCACCCGCGAGGCAAAGACCCAAAGGGGCAGGACTCAAAAACCCCCTGGCCAGCAAGGGAGCCTCCACGCTCCCGAGTCCCAAACACTCGGGCACTCCCCCAGCCCCAGTTTGACACATTGCCTTTTCATTTTGTTGGCACCACACACAAATCCACACCCATTATGTTTTGCCTGGATACAGGCAATTCCACCGACAATAAACAAGGTTTGGACAGACAAAACCTGCTCCTCCCCTTACACAGACCTACCTCTGCAGGGTCCTGCTGACAGGCTGCTGCCCGGCTGTCCTCACGTAGGGCCTAGGACACTTGTGGGCCAGCTCTCCGGCTGCGTTGCCCAGCAGCATCCCGTTGCCTTTTGCTCTTAGGGATGCAAAAGGAAAAACCCAGTCTCTGCAACTGCACACGGCACCTCTTGAACTTGTCCCTTGTCTTCCTCTCTGCCTCTGCTGTGAACACACTGGTTTCCAACACACCCTCTCAACGCCCCCCCCCGGAACACAGCCACCAAGGAAAGGCCCGGTTGTGCCTGTGGTACCCTGATACACCCAAGAGCCTGGATGCACCATCGAGGTGCACGGATACAGCAGGATACAGAAGATGAACTTGCCAAACCACCCAGGCCCCAAGTGCAGGTGTCGACTTGGCTGGGGGAGAGTTGTGCTTTGGGGACTGGCCGGCCAGCGTCTCGGGGGCCAGGGCTGGCACACGCACCTCCACAGGGGACCGCAGCAACGTCACGAGGCCATCAGCAGCTTTGCAGCTCTCCTCCTGCTGCTTTGGCCACCGGCGTCCCAGGCCAGCTGGGGCCAGTAAGAAGCCCAGGGAACACAGGTCTGCAGTGCTGGCTGCACTGGCGTACAGATTTACGGTGTTTGTGGCTAAAGAGGTGATGCTCAAAGACAGGCTTGCCGTTGAAAACGAGGCACATCTCAGCACCATCAGCTCCCCCATGTAGCAAGGTCCAGCTGATTTGGAAATAACCTGCATTGCCAGAGAGAACTAACCATTTCCCACTTCCCACATTTCCTCCCCACAAAAAACCCCAGGCGATGATGCAGTCCAGCTGCGGCCCCTACCCATACCACTGCCTCACTCCTAGGGTAGCTGGCTGAGCCGTACGCTGTCCTGCAGCGCTGCCAGGGCTCCCTGTTACCCACAGGAGAATATCCCCCAATGCCCGTGACTCCTCACATTCACGGGGCTTTCCCACAGGCTTCATAGCACCCCACTGCTTCACGCCACGGACCTGCCAAAGATGCCGAGCATGGGGTCTGCCCGCTCCAGCAGGGGCGCAGAGCAGGGAAGGCAGGAGCCCAGCAGAGTACACGGGTCAGGTGAATGGCTGGCCGGAAGGGAAACCAAATTGCAGGCTCGTTGCAATTTATCCCCAAATAGCCCTGGGATAAAACTACTGCATTCATAAAACCATCATGTATTACTCAGCACAGTCCCCCAAGCCCCAAAGAGCACCCGAGAGCACGGCAGCCGTCTTTCAGCAGAGCACTGCTACCTGTTTCAAATGCCTTCCCGCAATAATCCCAGCTCACCTTTACTTGCTGTGCAGCGTTCACTCTCTGCAACACCCCATCTTCCTTCAACGCCCCAGAAGGGCTCGCTTTGAAGACACGACAGCAGTAACCTCTGTGATTTTCTCCACCACACCGCCTCAGAGAGATACTGATGCGCCTCCCTCACCCTGCTTAACCCAGGAGACCATGCATCAAGTATTTCTCTCTTACACGAGACCTGCAGGTACTGAACACTGGGGAGACGCTCATTCCTCAGACAGTTGGTAGGCCAACACCTCAGTCCCCTCTGGCCAGCGCGCTACGCCCCAGCCCCAGGTGCCGACAGCAGCGCGGCACTGCACCCCCCCAGCCCGTGCCACGGGACACCTCCAACCTGGAAGTTGTTCCTAGCTCTGGATGTCAGGAGTTTCTTGAAGTTCATTTTTACTCTCCAGCACTGACAGGAGGATTA